GCCAAACCAGTTAGGGTGCTCCTGAGTTTTTGACATTCTTTCTTTCGTTCTCCCTTGCTCCCTAAACCTGCCCTTAAACAATGAAGATGTCCAGGGTTCCCATCTCATTTTATTCTCTACGCCCTCGTTATCTCTCGCCATCATATGTCAGCCACAAAGAGCAAACACTTGCAGTTGGCCAAGCAAGCAGTTCTGTTTCGCCGCTGAGCCTGCCTGATGGGGTTCGCTCTGCTTGGAGTCTCTCCTTTCCCTTCATTGAGCAAACTCCTACTCCTCCAAGACCAGCTTTAGTGTTGTCTCCTCTGTGACATCGTCTGGGACCTCCCCCACAGAGTTGACACCTTCTCTTTGGTACCAGGTATCTTCCTTTCCTTACCACGGTCTCCCACCGTCTAGTGTCACCATGTTGTTCACATCTCTCTCCACTAGAGGTCCTCACACTCAAAGAGTATATCTTATTTACCTTTGTATTCTCAGCACCTCAGTGGGACTAAGAACAGCCAGGCAAGTTAAACACAAGCTGCCCTTTCTGCACTTTCCCCAGGGTCACTGGTGAAGCCAGGTGGTGGAGGGAGTATAAGAAAGTGGGTGAACTCTGGCTGGTGGGGGTTCGATTTTAGATTGGAACAGGCAGGGCGGTCCTGCCTGGGTGTGAGGTGGAGGCAGGGAGGAGCAGTGATGCCGGTAATTGCTACCAACAGTGTTCATTATTCATTTGAAAGCAGCTCAAAGTGGAACAGGGCACTCAAATAGGACTGATTCCTACATAGAGGAAACCCTTGACGTGGTTTTAAAGTTTTCAAGGACTCTTGTAGGCAATACGTAATTTTGCCGAGGAATGAATTTTAATCACACAAACTTGCAGCAGATGAGTCCTTATCTAGAGCGTGAACCCAACCCTCCGCCCTGCGGCAGCCACACTAGCACTGGGTCCAGTACTTCCTGGCTATGTGACCTTGGGCCTTGGTTTTTCTCATGTGCTGTGATGGTTAAATGAGATAATATATGAAAAATGCCTAGCAGTGCACGATACACAGCAAATACCCAATAAATGGCAACTATCAATAATAACAGAAACTCTCATTAGGGTCAGGAGGACCCTTCTCAGTTATACCTGTTACATTGTATAGGAGCAAATACGCCACTTTCGAATCGCAAAGGTCTTAAGACAACTCTCCTTTGAAAATTTATGACCTACTGTGTCCAGAATGAACAGCAACTCTAGACCAGTGGCTTAGATGGCAAGACATTACCCTACTTGTTGTGGGAAACACACACCACGACAATGAGGTGGGTGGGAAAGGCTTGGATGAACTTGGATGGGTTAGAGGCGGCCTCAGGTCCCAGGACTCTTCCAGCTTTTGCATCCCTATCAGTTATTCCTATCGCCATCTAACACAGGCCTGGCAGATATCCCAGCAGCATACATTAAATGGAAGGTGGAAAACTCATACAAGTAAACTAAACTAGAGTTTCCAGATCAATACAAGATGCTGAGTTAAATTTCAGATAATCAGCAAATAATTTTTAGTGTAAGTACGACATAGACACTATTTAAGACATAGTGACACTAAAAATACTAAAAAATCATTTGTTATCTGAGGTTCAAGTTTAATAGAGCATCCTGTATTCTTATTTGCTAAATTTGACAACCTTAACCTCCTAACCCCTGAGACTGGCCTCTCATAAGGGACAACTTCCCCAGGGGTTCTCCTGGGAGGAGAAAGGCTGCTACAGGCCCTCATTCACGCTCCAGGCTGACCTGACCCTGAGCTGCTCTGGGGGCTGGGGTTGAAGCCATGGTAACCTAGACATATCTGTCTTGCTTGGGCCTTCCCTGTTCACCTCATTTAATCAGCTTCCCATCTTTAAACCAAGGAAGTAGCCACTGATGGGCCTACAGCGCCACCTGGAGGCTCTTATGGGTAGTACTCTGGTCAGGGGCCATCTCGGGGACCCAGGATTCTGGGGAGCAAAGAAAAGCCAAACAAGGAAGAGACAGAGTAGGAGAGGAGGCAGGGAACGATACACCTCCCCGGAACGTTCCGTTTACAGCTGCGGTTCTGGCCACCTGGGACCTGAAGGCACTCGCTCTCCAAAGGCCGTCCGTCATTTCTCAGGGCTTCCCTTTCCCAAGATCCTCTGCGTCTCCCGCTGTTCCTTGCAGGTCCCAGGCCTTGCAGGTGGCTGCCCCATTTTGCATTCCCACCAGCAGTGCCTGGGGGTCCTTGCTAACACTCCTTCTTATCTGTCTTTCCCATGATAACTATCCTCGGGGGTGCGAAGTGAAATCTCATTGTGGTTCTGATTTGTATCGTCCTACAGACGAATGCTCTTGAGCTTCTTTCATGGACTCATTGGCTATTTGTATATCTTCTCTGGAGAAAAGTCTATTCAGATCTTTTGCCCATTTTTAAGGGAGTTATTTATCTTTTTATTATTGAGTCATAAAAGTGGTTTATATATTCCAGATACAAATCCCTTATTAAACCTATAATTTGCAATTTTTCCCCCCATTTTGTGGGTTGTCACTTCACTTTCTTGATAGTGTCCTTTGAAGCACAAAATGTTTTAAATTTTGATGAAGTCAAATTGATCTACTTTGTTGTTGTTGCTCATGCTTTTTCTGTTATATCTATGAATTCGCTGCCAAATCCAAGGTCATGAAGATTGACCGCTATGCTTTTTTCCTCTGGTGTTAGCTCTCACAGGTAAGTCTTTGCTCCATTTTGAGTTAATTTTTATATATGGTATGAGGTAAAGTTCCAATTTCATTCGTTTGCATGGAGCTATCTAGTTGTCCAAACAGCATTTGTTGAAAACATTCTTTTTACCCATTGAATCATCGTGGCATCTTGGTAAAAAATTAAGTTGACCATAGATACTTCTTTTTTTTTTTTTAAATCGATTTTCAATTCTATTCAATTGGTCTGTATGTCTACCCTTAAGCCAGTACTACATAGCACTGTCTTGATTACTGTTGCTTCATAGCAGCTTTTAAAATCAGCGAGTGTGACCCCTCAACTTTACCTGCCTCTCTCTAATCTTGGGGGCAGTGGGTTTACCATGTGTCCTCCCTCCTCTCTTATGGATCCAAGATCATTGTTGATTTTTCAGTCTGTTCAGTTTTTTGCTTGTTGTTAGGATAGAGTAGAGACTTCCAAACTCCTTACATGCAGAATGGGAAATATATATTGATTGATTTCAGAGTGGAAGGGAGAGGGAGAGAGATAGAAACATCAATGATGAGAGATAATCATTGATTTTGGCTGCCTCCTGCACGCCCCACACTGGGAATTGAGCCCACGACCCAGGCATGTGCCCTGACCAGGAATGGAACCGTGACCTCCTGGTTCATAGGTCAACGCTCAACCACTGAGCCATTGAGGCTGGGCTGCTTTTATTGATCTTTGTGATTTTTTAATCCCTTGCCTCATTTTAAAAGGCCTTTCCTCCTTTATAGTATCCCAAGTAGATACTATAAAAGGATACAGTAGTTGTTCTGCGTTGTCCAATGTTCAGATTTTCCCAAATGCAGATTATTATAATGGGCCAAGCCTTATTTCACTGTCTGTGGTCTTTTATTTCCCCATGACTACATGCATACAAAGGCATCCAGTGTCTTCCTGGGTACCTTTATTTTTCTTCTTAAACCGCCCAAAACCTGCCAAATGTGTGGTCATGTCATTTTTCATCCGAGCACAATGGATTTTTGGCAGTTAACAAAATTCTGTGTGCCCCCACGTTATGGGAAAAGAGGGAACACAGACACTTTGTCCCAGTGCCACCCCAGGGACTTGGCATTCTGCAAACCATGTCGCGGTGTCCGCCTGGCCCAGACACCGCACGGGAGCTGCGCGCACCTCACTCCCTTCTAACCAAGTGCTACGCCTGGCTGCGGGGCCGACATTGCTTTTGGTCCCAGGCTGCCTTACTTGCAGGACGGTTGCTGATTTGGTGAGCGCCGGGCAAATTCCCCTGCCGCCAACCATTTCCCCACAGGACCTAAAACCCCCTCATTAGAGTTTTGTCTTTGGGGGCTCAGAAATAAGTACACGTGACTCCTTAGTACTGGAAGCGACAATTTCACGCACTCTGTAGTGGGAAACTGAGCGGATCATTCCTCCGCTGAGACCCGGAGAGAAGGCAGAGGAGTCCTGATGCAGGCGATGGGGTTTGCGGGGACAGTGGGCCAATCCAAGGGTGAGGTTCTGAAGGTCCTCAGACATACTGGCCTCGGGGCAACCTTTTGTTATGTGATTGTTATGAGGCCATAGTCCCATCAGCTAAGGGTTCCACGGTGTGGAGAGGGTTTCCAAAATGGTAGCCAAGAGAACAGGTGACGAAGGGGAGGTAGGAAAGCCTGTCCCCCTCTTTTATATCTAACTAGAGGGCCGGTGCACAAAATTTGTGCACTGGGGGAGAGGGGGTGTCCCCAGCCTGGCCTGTGCCCTCTCACAGTGTGGGAACCCCACGATCCATCGCCCCAAAGAGGTAGGCCCCGCCCACCCATCCAGGGCTCCTCGATGGATTGCCCCAAAGAGGTAGGCCGGAGCTGGGGCGCGTGGAGCAGCTGCCGGGCCCTACCTCTGTGCTGTGCACGCAGCGTCAAGTCCCCACCCGTGTGCGCCCGCAGCCTCCTGGTGTTGGATTGTGATGGCGTGATGACCACCTAGGCTATTATTAGTATAGATGCTTCCCCCTGATTGTCCTAGTTTCAGAGAACTCAGCAACCTTGTCCTGGAAATCTGGTGCCATGAACCTTGGCCTTGTTCCCACCAGGAGTCAGGATGAACAGCTGCGGGGTCACTGCGGCTCCCATCTCAACTTTTCTGCATCTGCAGACTCTGCTCAGGCCCCCCAGGAAGCTGCCACCTGCCAGCACGAGTGAAAAGCCAACGCCAGTCTCCTCAGCCCCGTGAGCTTTGCCTCGGCCACTGCAGGAGCGGTCCCCTGCCAAGGCCCCTCTCCTCTGAAGAAACACAACTGAGACCACGTGAGAAGTAGCTACAGTTTAATACAAACCTGCACCAGAACACAATGTGTCGGGCTGTCTTGTTTTTGCCTCCAATGGGTGGTCAAAGCACAGGACCATGTGTTGCTTTGGGGTTGACACAATCTTAGCACCATGACTTTTACAGAGGAGTGGGGGAGTCAGTCACCTGGGTGCTGGGGTGCCGGAGGCTCCATCCCAACCCCGGGCTGTGCCTGCCGCCTGGGCAGCTGGAGGGGGTTTGGGTTTCTGTGTGGTTCTGTGGTTTCTGGGTCGGTATTGGAAAAGCCCTCATGACGGCATTGGCTTGACAGAGACCTACTGCGGACTCCTAGCACTACACACTCACACACACGCACACACAGTAGCACAATTGTCTGTAACTTAACCCCGCAAACCTAGAGAGCAGCTACGGCAAGAACAACAGTATTTATTCAGCAAGTACAAGACCAGTTTGAGAGCTGCATTCAGTGCAACCAGGAGCCAGTGGGGTTGGTGACGGAGCCGGCTGGAGCCCTGCACAGGGGCAAGGAGCGGGCGGTGGGGGCTGACCATTGATTTGGTTCCTTGAACCTCCTTCTGATTTCCATCTAGAAGCTCCTGGGCAAGGGTGGGGGTCTCTGTAAGGATCAGGGTGGATGAAGCGGAAGGCCTATGGTGGACCATGTGAAGACGTGGCCTCCCAGAGCCCCGGGCCATGCACCGCTCAGGCGGAGGCACTCAGAGAAGGTAAAGCTTTCCTAGCCGGAGCAGGGATCCTCTGCCCATGGGCCGCCACCCCTGCTTGGCTCTTTGGCATCTGCCCAAGGTCCAAGACCCAGCAAAGGCTGAAGAGATAAAGACGAAGTGCACTGTACCAAGGGGTCAGTGCCATGGCTCCCCAGGCCCAGAGCCCTCCCTACTCCTGTGCCCATGGCTGCCTCCCTCCACCAGTGTCTTTGCTGCCTCTGTTCCCTGGGTTACGGTCTCTGTCCGATCAGCCCCTGAGTGAGGAAGATGAGCATGGAGGGACAAATGGAGATGTGGAGACAGCTCAAACCACATGGCCAAACCCCGACCTGTAAGGAGTCCTGGCTCATCCGGGGAATATGCATCAGTTTGTTTATGACAAAAACCTACCGACCTGTGCAAAACAAAGCAAAATGCCTACCAGCGAGTCTTCTGACTGGTTAGACTCTGAGGGATCTACAAGGGACCTCACCCCACTCTTCCTTTCCACAGCTGGGGGAGACAGCCAAGCCCTTAAGGGCAGTCATGGACACGTCTGGGGTCAGAAGGCCTCAACTTTCTGGGCCTCATCTTTGAAATGGGGAGAGTCATACATGCTCTGTGGTGAGAAGCATTTGAGAGCTTGTATATGGAAGTGCTTTGAAACATGAACAGCACGATGTACGGGGTGTGACCGCTCGCCCGAGTCCAGGAGCCACGCGCAGCCTGGGGCGCTCAAACTGAAGGTGCAACATGAAATCACTTCCCGGAGGGGAGGACAAGGCTTCACAAGGGCAGGCAGCTGGGAGATCACCAGCCTCAGGGGTTTCCATGGAAACCTCCTGGAGCTTCGCAGGCAGGGAGGGCCCCACTGGGTATGGGAGACGATGGAGGCCACAGCAGGTGAGGGCACGGTGCCGTCCACGGGGGACTAGAGCACAAGCAATGCAGGCTCTACAGCCAGGTTCTGCTGGCCTGGCCTCCTTCCCTGCACCTCGCCACCCACGCCCTCGTCCTGCTCCCCCCCTCTTAGCAGACATCAGGCCTCTTGCCAATCACACAGGAGGAGCAGCCAGGCCTTGTACAGCAGGCGGTTTACAGGAAGCTGGGTGTTTGAGAGACGGGAAAGGCCTTCTTGTTCCCCAGAGGTCTCCAGGGTCAGCATCCTGGACATCCTCTCAGAATGTAGGGAACTAGACCAGGCGGGGAGGCGATGGGAACAGGGCCTGGGATGGGGCCTGTGCAGCCTGGAGGACTCCATGGGGGGAGAGGGTCTGTAAGTCTAGCACCCTCCTCCCCCTCCATGCCCTGGGCTGTCTGGTTGGTGTCGAGTGCAGCATCTCCTAAGGTCCACATCTACCCCTGTTTCTATGCTATGCTATGACACAAAGCACCGTTATTTTTCACAGGATGCACGAACAAGTCAAACCAAACCACTGCGCAAACCAAACGTGCAAAACAAAATCATGTACACGCGCCTGGCACCAGGCTTGCGCCCCGCCCAGCTAGCCCTTCTGGGCATGACTCCCAGAGGGCGGGGTGGGGAGAGGAAGCTGGTTAAGGGTACAGAGTGTCCCAACAACACCCACACCCAGGGTGTCCCAACCGCATCCACACAGGGCCGGAGCTGAGTCAGGAGAAACGGGACATTCTGTGCACAGCTGGGCAGCTAACACCCGTCTAACTTGAGAAAGGTGACCACGGGGCCTAAGGGGATGGGGAAGGGAGTCCCTTTAAACACATCTGCTAAAGTGCTCCGGACGACTGGCGGGTCAGCCAGGGGCAGGGCACTAGAGCCTGGGCTTTCCTGAAGCCAGCACGCGGAGGTGTGAGGGGAGGGGCTGGCCAGGCTCTGCGGTGGGCTGTGCATAGTGTGGGCTTCCTGGGCCCCACAGGCCAGGGCAGGAAAAGACTGCAGCAGGAGGGACACATCTCAAAGGGCCTGCTGGGTCGGCTCGAAGCACAGTGAGTCACGTGCCAGACATGGGGAGGGCTCCGGGTCCGGCGGCCCCTCAGGTGGTGAGCTGCCCAGCCCAGCCTCTCCTGCCCTCGCAGCGGTGCGGGAGGGTGTGCGGGCTGGTGGCAGCGGTGCGTCCTCACTTGGGGGGCTGGGCGGTGCCTTTACCAAATGCCGCTCGACCTGCCTCCGGGGGGAGCGAGGATCCGGGCAGAAGCCCGCTTTGGAACATGGTCGTCGATCTGAGAGCCTGCAGGGAAGGAAGCAGAGGCGAGGGGCCGCTCTTGTCTGGGCCCGTAAAAGCCCGGCCGCCCCTCCCGATGGAGGCTGTTAGGCCCTCCGGGCGCATGGTCTACCTGAATCCTCACAACTCCATCCCGTCTTACAGACGTGGACACGGGCTCAGGGAAGTTAGTCACTCGCTCTCTGTTACACAGGGTGTAAGCGGCAGAGCCTGGGTTCGAACCAGGTCTTCCTCATTCAGAATCTCCATGATTAACTGCCCTGCTATGCCACCTTCGCTGCTCCTCAGCCTGACAGAGGGTCTCTTTCGGGGAGCTCGGACTATGGATTGGCCCGTTAACGAGTGAGAGAGAAAAAAGGGAAAAACAAAGTACCACGCCCTGAAGGTCTCCCCATTTTGAAATACCAAGACTTAGAACAGGAGGCCTGGTGCCCCAGGGGGCAGTGGGACAGTCTTCGGCTGTCTGATGAGAACAGGTTCGGCTGGGGGCAGCGGGAAGGTGGAAGGCTGCTCAATGTTGGCTGAGTCTGAGGGTTCTGCCCAGTGTTGGCTCTGCCCCAAGGTGTGGGTGGGAGCAGATGATGCCAAAGGCCAGTGGGGCCCATGGCTCTGGGGCCATCCCCAGGCAGCCATGGGAATCCACACCTCTGGATTGGCAAGGTTGGGTGCCCATGGACACTCCATCCCACGGATTGCTTTCTGACTCTTTGCACACGTGTCCTGTCCCTGGTGGGAGTGGCAGTGGCCCTCAGGCTTAGGGAGCAGTTACCTTGGTAATGAGAGGAAGGGGAGTGGTGGAGAGGACACTTCCCCATAGGCTACCAGTCCTCAAACAGGAACCACGTGACTTCTGCCTGGAGCTGCCCCCAGCACACAGCTGGGCACGGGGGTCCCTCTGGTTTAGCCCTCTGCCTCTCAGGTTAGGGGGGTCTGTGTGCAGGGCCCCCCCAGCAAAAGCCACGCCCTGTGAGGAGGGATCTTGCTCCTCTCGCTGTTCCGGGCCCAGCACAGCACCTGCAGAGCGGATGCTAGGTCTGCACGGGGCTAGTCCTGAAGGCTGCTCAGGAAGGTTCTTCGCAGTGCTGTCGGCAAAGCTGCCTGCAGGACTGGCACCGTGCCCCTCTGCTTGCTCTCCATTGACGGCTGCCACTTACGCGGCAGTGGACCCAGCGCTCATCACTGGACATGCCATAGGGGAGGGAGGGAAGATGAGGGGAAAAGCAGCACACATCCCACCTGCCCCTCGGCCTCCTCCCACCACCCATTGTGGTGGAGACGCAGGTGCCAGTCCAAGTGGCCCTTGCTCTTACCAGAGAGGCTGAAGCTGGATTCGTGAAGGTCCCTCATGCCCCCGTGTCGGGTAACGGGCCGGGTAGGAGTGTCTGCGAGCGGCGTTCCCATCTCTTTTTTCCCAGGATGCACAACGACAGCGACATCCCCCAGGTAGGGAGTGCGGTCCACTCCCTTAACCTTCAAGGTCTAGTGAAGGGAGGAGGAGGAGACGGGAAAAGACACCGTCAGAGCCCAGACACCACCCCCAGAGCCTCCCCGATGGGGGCCGGGCCTCCAGAGGCTGCCGTTCTGCTCAGGACCCAAATGGCTGCCACAGAGGCTTGCGTTGCCTTGAGCACAAGGGGTGGAGACGTATTTTCTTGTGCCTTCTCAATAGTGCATGTGTGTGCACCCGTGCACATGTGTGTGTACATGCATGTGTGCGTGTGTAGAGGAGACGCCCACTGGCTCGCCCTCAGTATTGGTGGTATCTTTTCCCAGGAAGCAGGTCAACTTGAGATAATTAACCTTGAAGAGCGCCCCTCCCCAGGAGCAGTGGCATTCCCCTCGCTTGCCGGGTTACCAAGAGGTCAGGAACTTCTCCAGGCCTGGCCTGGCCACTTAAGTGTTGGGGGGCCCAGACCCAGCAAAGCCCACCCAGCCTACTGCAATCACAAGGGGAGCGGAGGTGTCCGAGAAAGAGCAGCTCCCGGCCCTCGCTGGTTTGGCTCAGTGGATAGAGCATTGGCCTGCGGACTGAAGGGTCCCGGGTTCGATTCCAGTCAAGGGCACATGCCTGGGTTGCGGGCTCGATCCCCAGTGGGGGGCGTACAGGAGGCAGCGGATCAATGATTCTCTCTCAGCATTGATGTTTCCTATCTCTCCCTCTCCTTTCCTCTCTGAAATCAATGAAAGTATATTTAAAAAAGAAAAAAAGAAAGAAAGAGCAGCTCCAGGCCAAGACAGGGAACCCTTCCCTGAAGGACAGCAAGAACCCTCCCAGGACCAGTGGTCGGCTCAGCCGCGAGCAGCTCACAGTGCTCCCTCAGCTCCCGGGGCATGGGGGGCCCTTCCAATACATTCTACCCCGCTACAGGTGCTTCTTCCCTGCGGTTCTGGTTCCCAAAGTGACCACTCCCGGCGACAGGACTCGGCGGGAAAATAGAGTGAGAACACCTTGAGATTTAAAACCATCACATGAGATGCCCCTAACGGGCCTTCAGCCTCTTCCCACGCATCTTCCTCCCCATCCCCCTCTTACCTTTTCTCTCTGGACCAGCTTCTTGTAGACAGTGTCTGGGAAGGACCTCAGGGGACAGAACTTGCCGGTGCCCTCAGCGCACATGAAGACACCGTTCTCATACACCACCCGCCCCCGGCTGATGGTGACCAGCGGCACGCCATGGCAGCGCATGTTCTCGTACAGGTTGAAGTCTCCTCCCTGCACCTGGGTGCTGGCCGAGATGGTCCTGGCGGGGAAGAAGTGGTGGAAGAGGGAGCTCTGAGGAGAGGCAAAGACGCCACAGCTCAACGGGAACGGAGGTGCTCAGAGGGAAGGGGTGATGGCCAGAGGGAAGGGGTGATGTTCAGAGGGAAGGGGTGATGGTCAGAGGGAAGGGGTGAGGCTCAGAGGGAAGGGGTGAGGCTCAGAGGGAAGGGGTGATGGTCAGAGGGAAGGGAAGATGCTCAGAGGGAAGGGGTGATGGTCAGAGGGAAGGGGTGGTGCTCAGAGGGAAGGGGTGAGGCTCAGAGGGAAGGGGTGATGGTCAGAGGGTGATGGGAAGATGCTCAGAGGGAAGGGGTGATGGTCAGAGGGTGATGGGAAGATGCTCAGAGGGAAGGGGTGATGGTCAGAGGGAAGGGGTGATGGTCAGAGGGAAGGGGTGATGGTCAGAGGGAAGGGGTGAGGCTCAGAGGGAAGGGGTGAGGCTCAGAGGGAAGGGGTGATGGTCAGAGGGAAGGGGTGATGTTCAGAGGGAAGGGGTGATGCTCAGAGGGAAGGGGTGAGGCTCAGAGGGAAGGGGTGATGGTCAGAGGGAAGGGGTGATGCTCAGAGGGAAGGGGTGAGGCTCAGAGGGAAGGGGTGATGGTCAGAGGGAAGGGATGATGGTCAGAGGGAAGGGGTGATGGTCAGAGGGAAGGGGTGATGGTCAGAGGGAAGGGGTGGTGCTCAGAGGGAAGGGATGAGGCTCAGAGGGAAGGGGTGAGGCTCAGAGGGAAGGGGTGAGGCTCAGAGGGAAGGGGTGATGGTCAGAGGGTGATGGGAAGATGCTCAGAGGGAAGGGGTGATGCTCAGAGGGAAGGGGTGATGCTCAGAGGGAAGGGGTGATGCTCAGAGGGAAGGGGTGAGGCTCAGAGGGAAGGGGTGATGGTCAGAGGGAAGGGGTGGTGCTCAGAGGGAAGGGGCGATGGTCAGAGGGAAGGGGCGATGGTCAGAGGGAAGGGGTGATGGTCAGAGGGAAGGGAAGATGCTCAGAGGGAAGGGGTGATGGTCAGAGGGAAGGGGTGGTGCTCAGAGGGAAGGGGTGATGCTCAGAGGGAAGGGGTGATGGTCAGAGGGTGATGGGAAGATGCTCAGAGGGAAGGGGTGATGGTCAGAGGGAAGGGGTGATGCTCAGAGGGAAGGGGTGAGGCTCAGAGGGAAGGGGTGGTGCTCAGAGGGAAGGGGCGATGGTCAGAGGGAAGGGGCGATGGTCAGAGGGAAGGGGTGATGGTCAGAGGGAAGGGAAGATGCTCAGAGGGAAGGGGTGATGGTCAGAGGGAAGGGGTGGTGCTCAGAGGGAAGGGGTGATGCTCAGAGGGAAGGGGTGATGGTCAGAGGGTGATGGGAAGATGCTCAGAGGGAAGGGGTGATGGTCAGAGGGTGATGGGAAGATGCTCAGAGGGAAGGGGTGATGGTCAGAGGGAAGGGGTGATGGTCAGAGGGAAGGGGTGATGGTCAGAGGGAAGGGGTGAGGCTCAGAGGGAAGGGGTGAGGCTCAGAGGGAAGGGGTGATGGTCAGAGGGAAGGGGTGATGTTCAGAGGGAAGGGGTGATGCTCAGAGGGAAGGGGTGAGGCTCAGAGGGAAGGGGTGATGGTCAGAGGGAAGGGGTGATGCTCAGAGGGAAGGGGTGAGGCTCAGAGGGAAGGGGTGATGGTCAGAGGGAAGGGATGATGGTCAGAGGGAAGGGGTGATGGTCAGAGGGAAGGGGTGATGGTCAGAGGGAAGGGGTGGTGCTCAGAGGGAAGGGATGAGGCTCAGAGGGAAGGGGTGAGGCTCAGAGGGAAGGGGTGATGCTCAGAGGGAAGGGGTGATGGTCAGAGGGTGATGGGAAGATGCTCAGAGGGAAGGGGTGATGCTCAGAGGGAAGGGGTGATGCTCAGAGGGAAGGGGTGATGCTCAGAGGGAAGGGGTGAGGCTCAGAGGGAAGGGGTGATGGTCAGAGGGAAGGGGTGGTGCTCAGAGGGAAGGGGCGATGGTCAGAGGGAAGGGGCGATGGTCAGAGGGAAGGGGTGATGGTCAGAGGGAAGGGAAGATGCTCAGAGGGAAGGGGTGATGGTCAGAGGGAAGGGGTGGTGCTCAGAGGGAAGGGGTGATGCTCAGAGGGAAGGGGTGATGGTCAGAGGGTGATGGGAAGATGCTCAGAGGGAAGGGGTGATGGTCAGAGGGAAGGGGTGATGCTCAGAGGGAAGGGGTGAGGCTCAGAGGGAAGGGGTGGTGCTCAGAGGGAAGGGGCGATGGTCAGAGGGAAGGGGCGATGGTCAGAGGGAAGGGGTGATGGTCAGAGGGAAGGGAAGATGCTCAGAGGGAAGGGGTGATGGTCAGAGGGAAGGGGTGGTGCTCAGAGGGAAGGGGTGATGCTCAGAGGGAAGGGGTGATGGTCAGAGGGTGATGGGAAGATGCTCAGAGGGAAGGGGTGATGGTCAGAGGGAAGGGGTGATGCTCAGAGGGAAGGGGTGAGGCTCAGAGGGAAGGGGTGATGGTCAGAGGGAAGGGGTGATGGTCAGAGGGAAGGGATGATGGTCAGAGGGAAGGGGTGATGCTCAGAGGGAAGGGGTGATGCTCAGAGGGAAGGGGTGAGGCTCAGAGGGAAGGGGTGATGGTCAGAGGGAAGGGGTGGTGCTCAGAGGGAAGGGGTGAGGCTCAGAGGGAAGGGGTGAGGCTCAGAGGGAAGGGGTGAGGCTCAGAGGGAAGGGGTGATGGTCAGAGGGTGATGGGAAGATGCTCAGAGGGAAGGGGTGATGCTCAGAGGGAAGGGGTGATGGTCAGAGGGAAGGGGTGATGGTCAGAGGGAAGGGAAGATGCTCAGAGGGAAGGGGTGATGGTCAGAGGGAAGGGGTGGTGCTCAGAGGGAAGGGGTGAGGCTCAGAGGGAAGGGGTGATGGTCAGAGGGTGATGGGAAGATGCTCAGAGGGAAGGGGTGATGGTCAGAGGGTGATGGGAAGATGCTCAGAGGGAAGGGGTGGTGCTCAGAGGGAAGGGGTGAGGCTCAGAGGGAAGGGGTGAGGCTCAGAGGGAAGGGGTGAGGCTCAGAGGGAAGGGGTGATGGTCAGAGGGTGATGGGAAGATGCTCAGAGGGAAGGGGTGATGCTCAGAGGGAAGGGGTGATGCTCAGAGGGAAGGGGCGATGGTCAGAGGGAAGGGGCGATGGTCAGAGGGAAGGGGTGATGGTCAGAGGGAAGGGAAGATGCTCAGAGGGAAGGGGTGATGCTCAGAGGGAAGGGGTGGTGCTCAGAGGGAAGGGGTGAGGCTCAGAGGGAAGGGGTGATGGTCAGAGGGAGATCGGAAGATGCTCAGAGGGAAGGGGTGATGGTCAGAGGGAAGGGGTGATGCTCAGAGGGAAGGGGTGAGGCTCAGAGGGAAGGGGTGGTGCTCAGAGGGAAGGGGCGATGGTCAGAGGGAAGGGGCGATGGTCAGAGGGAAGGGGTGATGGTCAGAGGGAAGGGAAGATGCTCAGAGGGAAGGGGTGATGGTCAGAGGGAAGGGGTGGTGCTCAGAGGGAAGGGGTGAGGCTCAGAGGGAAGGGGTGATGGTCAGAGGGTGATGGGAAGATGCTCAGAGGGAAGGGGTGATGGTCAGAGGGAAGGGGTGATGCTCAGAGGGAAGGGGTGAGGCTCAGAGGGAAGGGGTGATGGTCAGAGGGAAGGGGTGATGGTCAGAGGGAAGGGATGATGGTCAGAGGGAAGGGGTGATGCTCAGAGGGAAGGGGTGATGCTCAGAGGGAAGGGGTGAGGCTCAGAGGGAAGGGGTGATGGTCAGAGGGAAGGGGTGGTGCTCAGAGGGAAGGGGTGAGGCTCAGAGGGAAGGGGTGATGGTCAGAGGGAAGGGGTGGTGCTCAGAGGGAAGGGGTGAGGCTCAGAGGGAAGGGGTGAGGCTCAGAGGGAAGGGGTGAGGCTCAGAGGGAAGGGGTGATGGTCAGAGGGTGATGGGAAGATGCTCAGAGGGAAGGGGTGATGCTCAGAGGGAAGGGGTGATGCTCAGAGGGAAGGGGTGATGCTCAGAGGGAAGGGGTGAGGCTCAGAGGGAAGGGGTGATGGTCAGAGGGAAGGGGTGATGTTCAGAGGGAAGGGGTGATGCTCAGAGGGAAGGGGTGAGGCTCAGAGGGAAGGGGTGATGGTCAGAGGGAAGGGGTGATGCTCAGAGGGAAGGGGTGATGCTCAGAGGGAAGGGGTGATGCTCAGAGGGAAGGGGTGAGGCTCAGAGGGAAGGGGTGATGGTCAGAGGGAAGGGGTGGTGCTCAGAGGGAAGGGGTGAGGCTCAGAGGGAAGGGGTGAGGCTCAGAGGGAAGGGGTGATGGTCAGAGGGTGATGGGAAGATGCTCAGAGGAAGGGGTGATGCTCAGAGGGAAGGGGTGATGCTCAGAGGGAAGGGGTGAGGCTCAGAGGGAAGGGGTGATGCTCAGAGGGAAGGGGTGATGGTCAGAGGGTGATGGGAAGATATCCCCAAAGGCTGGTGGTTATGGGTTGAATTGGGTCCCCTGAATTTATATGTTGAAGTCCTAACACCCAGTACCTCAGAATGTAGCTGTATTTCGCCTTTAAACATCTAATTAAAATGAGGTCATATGGGTAGGCCCTAGTCCAACATGACTGGTATCCTTATAGGAAAAGAAAATTGAGACACCAGGAGGACACACAGAGGAAACCCCACGTGAGGAGGGAGAAGACGGCCACCTGCAAGCCAAGGAGGGAGGCCGCAGGATGCATCCACCCTGCCGACACCTCCATCTGACTTCTAGCTCCCAGAACCGTGAGGAAACAGATTTCTGCCGTGTGAGCCCCCAAGCTGCGGTATGTTTTAAAGCAGCCCTCGCACCCTCGCACACGGGGCTAAACTCTAGGGTCTTTCCACCAACAGCTGACCCATCACAGGGACAGGGACCAGCCCCTGGCTTCAGGATGCAGAACAGGGCTTCTCGAGGCCCTGACAGAGAGCACAGTATGGGGGCCCTGTGTGGGCTTTCTTTCGTTTTCAGCTTCCCGCACATTTCTGTCTACCCTGTCCACTGCCAGCTTGTGCACCTAGAAAAGCGCCCGCCAAACAGCAGCACTTAATAAATTCAGGGGTGGGCAAGGGTGGGCAATAATAGAACACAGAGTTCTATTATTATTAACTAATTAATTATTGCATTACTTACTATTATTAACCTACTTTTGCCACCCCTGTATTTGATGACTGAATGAAATGTAATATTAAAAACGCGGCCATGCCGAAACCGGTTTGGCTCAGTGGATAGAGCGTCGGCTTGCGGACTGAAAGGTCCCAGGTTTGATTCCGGTCAAGGGCATGTACCTGGGTTGCGGGCACATCCCCAGTGGGAGATGTGCAGGAGGCAGCTGATCGATGTTTCTCTCTCATCCATGTTTCTAACTCTCTCTCTCCCTTCTTCTCTGTAAAAAATCAATAAAATATATTTTAAAAAAAATATTAAAAATGCGATTCCCAGCTGCCCAAATCTTCAAGTGAGAACGATGCCCTACACCCTGCTGGCCACTCCTGGCACGCTTCATTCACTCATTCAACGTGCGCTCCCTAACGCCCCGCTGCTAGCGCCGGGCGCTCAGGGAACCGCCCGCAGCGAGAGGCGCAGAGGATGGAGGAGCCAGGGACGGGGTGCGAGGCCGTCTGACTGGTCACCCACGTCCTAGCTACAGGGTGTGGGGGTCCCTCTACACTCTGGTCCATGGGGAAGGAAATAAGAACCCCAGGCTTGAGTGCTTCTCGGGGCTGTGAGTCAAATCAAATGAGATAACGATGGGCAGCCGCTTGGAAACACTGTCAGGCAGAGCTGGTCACTGCTGTGCTCCCAGGGCCGGACCCGGGGAGGCCCTCAAATAGTCATTACGTTGAACACGCCTCAGGTCGCACTCCTCTGTGCTAGGAGTGCGGAGAGGCTATGCTTTGGGAATTCTGTAACGCAAGCTGCTTAAGCCCCCAGGCCCCCAGCCCCCCAGAACCCCCGCCCGGGAGGCGGGCAGCGGGTTTACTTTGTGGCCTCCGGGTCCCACACCACCACGTCGGCGTCGGCTCCCGGGATGATGCGGCCCTTGCGGGGATACAGGTTGAGGATCTTCGCCGCGTTGGAGCTGGTGACGGCCACAAAGCGGTTCTCATCCATCTTTCCTCCGACCTGGAACGTTGCAGAATGTCACATCGACCCGGCCTGGGCGCGCCTCCCACCCCAGGCACCCCTGGCGCTGGCCTGTGGCCTCCGAGTCGGTCAGAACAGTGGTGCTGAGGCGGACGACACCACGGGCACCACTGCAGGTGACCAACCGCTCGGCTGGGTGCCAGGCACTCGCTCACTTCTCTCTCCTTCATCCAGCATCAGTGAGTGGGCCCTTGGTCCAAGCGGCTGCCTCCCTGGTGGAAATCTACCCGCTGACTGTAAACCCAGCTCTGCTCGGGCGCCCACGAGGGACGAGTCAGGAGCCTCCCTCATCCACAGAGGGTCATGCATTCTGGGCTCCGGAAAAGCATCTTTTTACCCCACCTACCCACCCAGGACAGCGCCGTGGACTCTCTTCAGAGGAGATTCCCGAGCCACCGCCTGGGTCCTCCCTGAGCTGGTGCTTAGTCTTGAGAACGCCAGACCTCCTGGGCCTCAGCCTCTCCTGCAGCTAGTCCCGTGATGGCGAGCCTATGACACGTGTGTCAGAGGTGACACGCGAACTCATTTTTTTGGTTGATTTTTCTTTGTTAAATGGCATTTAAATATATAAAATAAATATCAAAAATAGAAGTCTTTGTTTTACTATGGTTGCAAATATCAAAAAAATTTCTATATGTGACACGACACCAGAGTTAAGTTAGGGTTTTTTAAAATGCTGACACGCCGAGCTCAAAAGGTTCACCATCGCCGAAACTGGTTTGGCTCAGTGGATAGAGCGTTGGCCTACAGACTGAAAAGGTCCCAGGTTCGATTCCGGTCAAGGGCATGTACGTGGGTTGCGGGCACATCCCCAGTAGGAGATGTGCAAGAGGCAGCTGATCGATGTTTCTCTCTCATCGATGTTTCTGATTCTCTGTCTCTCTCCCTTCCTCTCTGTAAAAAATCAATAAAATATATTAAAAAAAAAAAAGGTTCGCCATCACTGATTCTAGTCTGTGATAGGGCAAGACCAATAACACACATTCTTCACGGGCAGATCCGCTAGGTGGTATTCTAACAAGTCCCAGTCCCTCTCTTCATGGAAAAGTAACTGAACAAAATATACCAAGAGCTTTAACATGCTCACATCCCTTGGCCCAGAAATCCTCTTCTAGGGAATCACTAGCAATGCGGACACACACTCATGAACAAGGGGTCTCTGCAGCCCCATTTTTCAGTGCAAGAACCAGAAACAGCCGAAAGTTTCAAACATCAAGAAAGGATGAGCTGAAGTATGGCACTTCCACTGGAGAAAACATTTACCCATGAAAAAAGATGTTTTTAAAGAACTTTTACGGATATAGGGAGACACTCAAGATATGTTCTATGAAAAACAAGGAATGAATCCAGTTATTAAAATAATGTACAGTACACCATAGAACTAGGAGGAAACATGCTAAAATATTAAGTTTAATTTCTCGGTGTAGAATTATGGGAGATGTTTTTTTCTAATACTCTTCTGTATTTTTCAAATTTCTATACTAGGCTACCACCTTTCTGATCAGGAAAAAAAAAAAAAGGTCTGTTTGGTTCTGTTTTTGAGTGGAGCAGGAGCTGTGGTTGATCCGGCCCTCCTCAGGGTGGAACTCCTACTTAGACCAGAGTGGGGAAGGGCCCCCAAGAACCTACCACGCCTCTCTCCCAGATGACGCTCATGCGGTCCTGCACGCCGCTCACTCCATGCGGGATCTTGGTGAAGTCCTCCTTGCCCATAGCCTTCTGCTTTGTGGTGAAAGGCCGGTGGTCTGATGCCACAATGTTCAGAGTATCACTGGGCAGAGAGAAAGACGTGACCAATAAAGGGAAGGAGGCCAGGGTCCCAGAGGGTGGTGACAGGTGCAGGGAAAAGCGTTGCTTAAGAACCAGGCAAAGCTGCTTCCGGTCTCAGCTCTGCTACTTAGTAGCTGTCTGACCTCTGACGAGAGTTACTTAAACTGTGAGAACCTCAGTTTACTCATCTGCAGAATGGGAATAGGTGCTGAGTGTGGCAGACCATCACGGTCACAGGAGACATCGAGAGTCTCTGGGGTGCTGACTTTTAAGAGTTAAGATAGTGGGAAGAGAAAAATTACACGTAAGCGTTTAGCTGAAGTAGAGGGTGGAGGTAGTTTTACTACCATGGCACCATATGCAAACCCCCTCTCATCTCCTTCCTCAACCCCCACCAGTCCCTGCTGGCCACAGCGTGTGCTTGGTAAAGCACACAAGTTCAACATCCAGCCTCACAAAGAACTCGAGCTATAGCCTTCCCTGGATGTGGGGCTCTGATGGCCCAGAGGGGAGAGGAGGGACAAGACAGAAGATCAGGTTGTCTTAATAAGCCAGCAATGGCAGGCAAGTCAACTGGTCACAGTCACTGCCATCCATGGCCATCTCCTCCTGAGCCAGCTAAGAACCCAGGGCAGAGACGACAGCGAGAGAGTACATATGGTGGCAAGCTGTCATCCTGAGGGAGGCAGCTAGCTGGCCCTTGTTCAGAGATCTCTGCAGGCCTCAGAGATGGTGAGGGCAGAGGAGAGAGAATGCCTATGTCACCCAGGCCAGGGCAACCTCAGGAGAAACATCCTAGGCGGGCAGGGAGGGGCCTGAATGGAGCATGGGGGTCACGTGGGAGAGGGGACAACTGCCGGGACCACACACTGGGGACCCGAGAGCCTCATTTTACTTGTGGGAGACACCACAGCTTTGTGCACGTGGACCCTCTAAGATGCCCGCTTAAGAAGGGGATTCTGGGGTCAGAGAAAAGTTATTTTTCTGTGAGGAGGCATATGCTTAAGGCTCTCAGCCGTCCCGGGTCGGGTGCATAGAGGGTTTTCTCCTCTGGGGTCTGGGGGGCTCATCAGTCACAGCTCTTGCCAAATGACTGATACCCTCAGCCAGATCCACAGGGAGATGGATGACTTAGCTCTGGAGAAGGTCACAAAAGCAAAACCATCCTTTGAGCACAATGAAATCAAACTAGTTCAGGCATGGGGCCACTACGCCATCACCTTAAGGACCTACAGATTCCTGGAATGGCACCGAGTCAAAGACATGAGATGGGGCTGCGAGGGTCCGGCTAACAGGTCTTACTTGGCCAGCAGGCTCATGAGGTAGGTGGAGGTGTTGGTGTCTAGCCTCAGGGGAGGCACTGTGACGTAGGCGGCAGCATGGGACCAGTCCTGGTGGTAGTAGTGCAGGCCTGTCAGCGTGGCATGCGCGGTGGTGGTCTCGGCCAGCACCACCCTCCCTGGAAGAAGGAGAAGGGCCAAGCCATAACCAGGAAGCCAGTGAGCCTGAGCGATCATTCGTCTGGGCCTCTCATTTGACAGGTGATGGAGGTGAAGTCAGAGAGGAAGGGACTTGCCTAAGCTCACTCGATATTTGAGAGCACAGCTGGGTTCAAGGCCAGAGTGCTCCCAATCCCCACGCTGGCTGCGGGCAAGGGGAACAGAAGGGCAAAGTCACAGGGCAGGGGGCGGGGGGGGGGAGCACTGATGGCGCATCAAGGAGCACATGTTGGCTGGAGCACGGGTGCTACAGGGTGCTGACGGGAGGATGAAGGGCTGTGAATGCCACGCTAAGGGGCAGTCCAGACTTTTTTGCCCTTGTTCCTGATTTATACCCCGTTTCCAGGACCTCGCTGGCACCCCGAGCCTGCGGGCAAGGGGAACAGAAGGGCAAAGTCACAGGGCAGGGGGCGGGGGGGGGGGGGGGCAGCACTGATGGCGCATGAAGGAGCACACGTTGGCTGGAGCACGGGTGCTACAGGGTGCTGACGGGAGGATGAAGGGCTGTGAATGCCACGCTAAGGGGCAGTCCAGACTTTTTTGCCCTTGTTCCTGATTTATACCCCGTTTCCAGGACCTCGCTGGCACCCCGAGCCTGGCGGGCACTATAAGCAAGTACAGAGTCTTCAGGTGTTGCCAGTTGCTCAGCAACAGGCGTCACAACAGGTGCCCAGGGCTCATTCACAGGTTCCAGGTGGCCACAGGGGAAGTTGGGCCCCCCACACTGTTACTTCTCTAAGGACACCCCAGGCATCCCCTGAAATGCCCATTGGAACTGGTCCAGGATTTCATGTTGGTTACCAAGGCAACCACAAACAAAATCCAAGAAGCCAAAAGATGCCAATTAATGAGTCAACTGAAAACTTGAAAATGTTGCCCGACCCAGAGAGGTGACAGATACCTCTGTAGAGCTGTTACGCATACAGATGTGCAGAGGAACTGCGATTCTAACGGACTGAGCGAGGCTAGCGCGGGTGCGTCTGGGGAAGACAGGTGCAGAAGAGGAAGGGCAGGTGCAGGCTGGGCCTCGGGAGCTGGGGCCGTGGAGTGCATGGACCTGGCGGGCCCCCTGTGGCGTCATCAATCCTACCACACGTGCTCTGTCCATCCCAGCTCAAGGACTCACCTTGCATCTTAGCAGCTGCGATAACATCACCGGCCGAGATGCTGGACACGTTGACCAGGTAGATCGGACAGTGAGTCTACACATGGTGGAAGGACAGCATCAACCCCACAAACCTAACAAGCACCAGCATCACCCCCGACATCACCCCGGCCAAATCAAACCCTGGGCCTGGCCCCTCCCCCTGCCTCGCTCAGCCCCACCTTCAGGTGCTGGTCTGATGCTGGGAATGCAGGCTTGACAGCCAGGATGCAAGCTACAGGGGAAATGCATGAAGCAGAGAGGGGCAGGCAGCACCCTGAGCCAGAGCCCAACAGGGGGACACGGGGCAAGATGTCGAGAGCTGAACCTCACATTTTCTACCAACCGACAAAAGGCTACTTATAACTTAAAACAAGGGTCTGTAGGAATAACCATGTCCATTCAGTGTTGGGGCCCTGTGAGCCAGACATGATGCTGGCCCCCAGGACAGAACAGCACTCCACTGTACGGGCTGGTTTCTGAGCCCAGAGTCGAGAATAGACTTGGAACGGGTGCAGGGGGTGTGGGTCTATTTACCCTGTTTGCAATGGTGATGACTCGGTGAGTGGCTTCAGCTTCCAGCTGTTAGAAACAAAGGGTAGGAAGAAAACAAGCTTCACCATCTCTCCCAAGCAAGCCCACCTCCTAGCAAGGGTGCTGGAGTGTCTGACACAGAGCCAGGGGGCAACTGCACCCACAGGCTGGCCTGGGGCAAGCCCTGGGCAGGGGCACGGGGCTCCAACCACCTCTGCTCACCCTGAGAGAATCCTAGGACTCGGTAGGCGCATCCTTGCTGGATGCTACTCAGGGCTTAATGAAAAGGCAATGAAACAAAAGCGAACGAAAGCCTGGAGCTGCCTCTCTCCCTGTTTCCTGGTGTATTCTCTCCACAGCAGCAAAGGAGCGACACGGATCGATTTCACGCTGGAAATTAGCCTAGATCAGGGTTTCTGAATGTCAGTACTATTGACATTTTGGGCTGGAGAAGTCTTTGTGGTGGTGGGGTGTCTGGGGTTGGTAGGATCTTTGGCGGCACCCCTTGCCTCTACCTACTAGATGCTGGTAGCGCCCCACTGTTCCGCTGATATAATAAAAAATATCTCTAGCCTGGCCGGTGTGGCTCAGCAGTTGAGTGTGGACCCAGGAACCAAGAGGTCGCAGGTTCAATTCCCGGTCAGGGCACATGCCCAGGTTGTGGGCTCGATCCCCAGTAAGGGTTCGTGCAGCAGGCAGCTGATCGATGATGTTCCTCTCACATCCATGTTTCTATCTCTCTATCCTTCTCCTTTCCTCTCTCTCTAAAAATCAATAAAAACATTAAAAAAACCAACTTTTTTTTTTTTTTTTAAAGCCTCTAGACATTGCTAAATGTCTGCTGGGGAGAAAAATCGCCCTTGGTGTAGACCCAGGACCCTCCCCTTTAGCCAACAGACGAGGACGATGATAATTTTTGCTATTGCTATGACCGCAGTCAAAGCTTTGCCCTTCCCCTCGCGTAACTCAACCACGTCCACTCTTGTGCTCCCCACTCGCCCCGGTTCTCACAGGCACAGTGCTCACTTGGCTGCATCTGGTGCATCTTTCTTGACGGATTCTTAGGTGTCAAAACAGGAGCTATGTTCAAGGACTCGGACAGACAGGGACAGCCCCCGGGGAGGAGTAAGGTGGGACCCCTCCCCCAAGCTGACCCACGAGGTTCCTGTCTGATGGAAGGACTAGCACGCCCTGCCTCCAGCGCCTCCTCCCTCAAGGCCTCCTCATCGATCCCTCATGGACATCCAACCGCCACTCCGCACTTAAGGCTTTGAAGAAATGGAGAACAGCTTTCCCCTCACAAAGGGTCAGGGATGTCTGAACAGGGTCATAGGGCAAGAAGGCGTCATCTGTCTAATGTGGTCCCTCTGGAGCAGAATTCTTTACCCGGGGGCCCTGGGGGATTTGAATTGACGTCCTGCAAAACTATACACGGGCAAGACCAGAGGGCAGAAGAGCAGGGCTCTGAATTAGCATCTCAGCGACCAGTGAGGTGGCCTCTCCTTTCGGTGGGAAGGGTCCAATGTTTTCCTCACAGACTCAAGGGGATCCCATCCCCAAATGCTGAGTCACGCCGTCTAGCCTGAAATTTCTTCTAACATCTGAAGAAGCACACCTTTTCCGTCTGTCTTTTCTCTCCCCATTCAATTTTGAGTCAAGCAAACCCCTGGTGCTCACATTGTCTCCCTCGGATCCTTGAAATCAGAATCAATTGAAGCCAAGCCGGCCTCAGCCGGTGTGCGAGTGTGTGTGTGTGTGTGTGTGTGTGTGTGTGTGTGTGTGTGAAGCTGCCCCGTGGACTTTCGCCCACGGAGAAAGTGCTACCACACAGCTCACATTTACTGGTGCCTGCGAATCTCGGGGCAGAAGCTGACCAAGGGCACGCAGGAGTCTTCCTCACCTCTTCTGGACGGCTGATCTCAATTCCTTCCGGGCCCGTGATCCCCAAATCTAGCGCCTCCTTAGCACCCTGAAAAGGAGCAAAAGAAAGAACACTGAGAGAATCACGGAGACACCAAACAATACTGGGCCCAAGGGGCAGTAAACGATGCCAGACATGCCACTCTGATAGGCCTGCTCCCCTTCTCACTCCTGTAAATCCATCTTCTGCAGAGCACAGAGTAGGGCTCCCTTCCAGGAGGGCTCTCCGCTGTCTCACTTTGTAATAATTGAAAATATCTTTTCCTCTTAAAAATACTAGAGGGCAAGCCTGGGACACCAGAGACAAGCACTATTGATCTGAGCATCAGAATTTCCCTGCTGGAAATCTCATCAAAATATTTCTTAGCGCTGCTCCAGATTCCTTTGCTACACTGGAATTTTAATATAGTGTGAGAATGAAGACATCATTTAAGACTCAGAAACCCTTCTGGGCGATAAAGAGAGAATTGTTTTTCACAGACGGCAGGAAAGTTTGAATTTTCTGACAAAGATTTGTCATCGGGGGTGTTACCATCTCACACTTTCTTCTACACCTTGTTTCATCTGAACCTTGTGGGACAGAGGTGGGTGGTCAGGAATCCACCTGAGGACTGGCGCCCCGGCCCCCGCCCCCGCCCCCGCCAGGCTCTACCGCCTTGCCTCGGCCACGAGCTCCCCGTTTTCAGCATGGACGCGGGCGATCGCCCCGATGTCTCTGCAAGCGTGCAGCACTTGGTACAGCTCACTGTCCCGGAGCATGTACAAGTCCTTGTAGGTCATGAACATCTGGAACGAGTTGACGCCCTTCTCTCTCACCAGTGTCTCCATTTCTGCTTTCACCTGGAGAGCAATATGCAAAGGCAATGCCACGTGAGGACAGGTGCTCAAGAGGCTGCCTGGCCGGCGCTGGCCCGGCACGGAGGAGCTGAGGCTCGGCCAGTGGAGTCACCACCCGCAACCTTGCAGTGTCTCCCTTCCTCCCACCTCCCAGGCTGCTGTGAGGTCCCACGAGCAAACGGATGAAAACGTGCTTTGAATATTGCCAAGCAGGACACAAATATAGGGACTATCTTGTTACCTCCTAGGCGTGCTTCTCCTACCACATGGGCTGTTCTGTGTTTCTGACTTCAAATCAGCCTTATTGGTAAACACACTAATACCTTTTACTCCTCTGGCCTAGTCCCCTTAACCCAAAAAAGGTGTTAGAAGAAGGCACAGTAATGCTAAAAATCCAGAGACCCTAAGGTAAATCTAATTTAGGTACAAAGCTATGTGAATAAGGAGATTCACCCCAACATTATTTATATTAGGAAAAAATGGAACACGGGTCTGATGAGAGGAAAGTAAGTTGAGTTTTATTTATTTGACAGAATAAATCAATAATCGATGGTCACCTACATCGAGGTCATGAAGATTGGGCAGGCAAACAGAAAATGCTCACGCTTAAGCAGAAGAGTTACCAGGTAAAAAGCGTGTATGAAAAAAAGACTGGAAGGAAAGAAGCGAAACAACAAATAGTGATTGTGCTGGGGTGACCAGATTATGGGCTTTCTTTCTTTTCTAATTTTAAAATCTAGAGTTGGAAATCACATTTGATTATGAGAAAAACGAGTTTAAAATTCTAGATGCAGGGAAGTCCCCGCAGCCTCTGGGATGGCTGCTCTGACCTCGGAGTTGCTAAGCACTGACTCTGGCCGCTATTCCAGGCCAACGCTGGGCGGGGCGACGGGGGAAGCTTTTGGCATTTGGGGGAGTAACGATGGTGGTGGGAGGGGTGTCCCACACCTGCGGGCGAGTTCCACACCCCAGCTGCCCCCCACCAAGTGGCCCCTCTGCCTAAAAGGGCATTTTCACTTCTTTGGGGGAGGCCACTGTTACCTTGGGTGCCCACCAGGTGATCCCCACGTGGAGGGCGTAGTCACAGCAGACCTTGGGGTCGGCCAGCCCCCGGCACTTCTCGTAGGCTTCCACGAGGGAGGTCTCCTTGTCAGGCAGGACGTGGCCCATGACCATGGTGGTCCCTCCAACCAGCGCTGCCTGAGGAAGATGGGAAAAGCAGTCTCGTCACTTCTCTTCCCGCACCCAAGTCTCCGACATGGGGAGGCACGGGGTCCTCGGGTGGGCATCCAGGACAACCACAGACCCTACCTCCCAAGAGGCTGTGAGGCCCCCCGGAGGCAGCAATGTTTAGGGAGCTGTGAGCTGCCTGAAGGCGCAGGGGCCAGCGTGGAAGCATCCTTACTGTGGATCCAGCACACAAAACTTCATTCCCCTCTCTCTGTTTGAGACAGGGCACTTCTTAGGTCCCTGTATAAATTATCAGTGAAAAATGGCCCAGCTCATCATCTCCACAACATACCACTTGAAAGAGAAATCTTAAAAAGCCTCACTTGCAACCACAAAGCATAGTTCCAGGAATAATGACTAAATCTGCATTAAAGTTCTCCCCGTTCCCCATCCCTCCTCCCCCAACACACCTTTTTAAAAAAACAAATTTGGTCAGGCGAGTTCCACAAGTTCTAAAACCAGTACTGACCAAAGTCTGTTCCAGGCTAATGTGCTGTTCTCAAACAAAACTCGATTAAAATGAAAATAGTTGAGACAGGATCTTGTGAGAGATTTTGTGAGGACTCTGACGATGTAAGGCGACTCTCTCTTTTTTTCTGGTGGGTAAAAAGTCTTTCCATGTGGGTCCTTACAGTGATTTGGGGTCAGACCCAAGGTCCGGCCCCCACGCTGCCACCTCCCGGCTGGACAACCTCAGCCAGGCGACCTAGCCTCTCTGAGATGCGGGTTCTTTTCCTACACGCCGGGATAGCTTCCTTCCTGGGTAGCTGTGAAAGTCAACAGAACCCTCACTTATAAAATGGACTTGTGCCCTAGCCGGTTTGGCTCAGTGGATAGAGCGTCGGCCTGCGGACTGAAAGGTCCCAGGTTCGATTCCGGTCAAGGGCATGTACCTTGGTTGCGGGCACATCCCCAGTGGGGAGTGTGCAGGAGGCAGCTGGTCGATGTTTCTCTCTCATCAATGTTTCTAACTCATTATCCTTCTCCCTTCCTCTCTGTAAAAAATCAATAAAATATATTTAAAAAAAATAAAATTGACTTGTAAAGTCTTGTCCTAATGTGTGTGTGTGTAATCATTCAGAATAGCTGTTTGTCTTCTGTAGGGGGAAAAACAGCACAAGGAAATAGTCTTAATGATTCATGCTTCCCTATTCAGTTAAATCCTCGATCACAAATCAGAAATATCGCTGGGGAGTAAGGGCCCCCCAAAAATCAGTTCAGTGGCCAAACAACAATTAGAATGAGGGCTCTTGCAACATTGATTTTCCATGCTGATTCTGCTGGGCGTGTGGTCCCGGGAAACTCAGGGGTCGGGCTTCTTGCACAGCTTAAAGCGGCCGACAGAGGGTGCAGTTCAGCGGCACACACGGAGGAGGAGGACCGGTGATTGGGGGGGCGGCGGAAGCGGAGAGAAGGCAGAGCGGCAGATTGCGGCGCTACTCGCTGGCTTCCCTTTCTGATTTGCGGGATGGGGCCAGGCTGATTCATCCTCGTAGCAGGTGGCTGTACTCCATGCATTTCCCCGCTGAAATGCATTTCTTGCTTTTACACATGGACATGGAGGTGTCAGATCATTGTTTCATTTTCTGTGGTTTCAGATTGCTTTCTTCGCGCCCCCCCCCCCCCTGCACCCCAGTATGATGGTGGCCTTGGGTAGAAAAAGGGGAACCTGGAAACGCGAGTGTGATAAGAATGTTCTTAAAATCTGTGGGCACTGGAGCAAGAGTGGGAAAGGAGGTCCACGTACCAAATCTAAGGTACAGATCTAGCCAACAACCGTCACACAGAATACAGTACATCCTCCTACTCCCACAGCATATTGTCATAATGACCAAGAAGGCCAGGCCTGATTTTAGAATTCTCAGAGACCTTGCATTTCTGAGCTACACGGTAGGGGACGTTGGCCTTGAGCCTTGAACCTCTGTGCTTGCCCCAGCCCACACCCCCTGGCCCATGCATGATTCATCCTGCAGCCCACAGGTCTACCAGTAAGCTCTGCTCACCCCCTGCAAATCAGGCCCTTGGCCCTAGACGTGCACATGCTGGTGGTCTGGCCCCCAGGAGGACAGACTCAGGCTGTGGTCTAGGGGTGGGATAGTGGGCTCTGGGCAGACATGGCCCCTACTGCCTGGTCTAAGGATGACCACTGAAAGGTTCTGGAAGGAGGTGGGAGCATCGGGTGGTGGCCTGACTTTCTGCTTACTGTGGTAACCCAGGGCACCCGTGTGCCTGCCCTGCACCTCACTCTCGGGGGCCCGGAGAGGATCACAGGGGGCTGGAGAGCGTCTACAAGCTGGGAGGGCGCACATAAATATCTGCAATAATGATTCCTGCTGTTACTCAGGCCTCAAAATAAGAGTTTAATGGAATCAGCAAATACTCCCCCAGCTGCAGGTTGGAGCACTTGTTTCCTCTCAGGCAAGAGACACAGAGCTGGCTCTTGAAATATGCACAGTTCCTACCCCCGGGCTGATGCTGACAAGCTCAGTCTCCTCGGGAATGTGATATCACAGATGTGACAGACCCTTTTACTGTCATCCCCCACAGAACAGCCGCGCAGAAGTCAACAGCCGAGCACCACCCAGTCCTGTTCCTCGGGCTTTCAAAAGGATTATGTTTATGAACATATGACGGTTGCATGTTCACAACTGTTTTTATGCAAAAATGGTGTTGGCTAAGCAAGCTGTGGAGCTTCAATGGCAGTCAATAGAAACGATGCTCACGGAGGCCAAGTCATCACATGGGAAAAGGAGGATGTCATAATGAGTGAAAAAGGCAGAATTCAGTGTGTATCCAAGATGCTTAGAACTCTGCTTAAACACACACATACCCACAAAGGGAAAAAAATGGAAGGAAATACACCAAAAGATTAACCATGACCATTTTTAGGTGAGAAGATTCTGAGTAATTAATTTTTTCTAATTTTCTGAATTTTATTTAATAGAATACATTATATATATATACTAGAGGCCCGGTGCACAAAAATTTGTGCACTGGGGAGGGGGGGCAGGGGGGGTCCCTCAGCCCAGCCTGTGCCCTCTCGCAGTCTGGGTCCCCTCGGGAGATAACGCCCTGCTGGCTTAGGCCTGCTCCTGGGTGGCAGAGGGCAGGCCCAATCCCTAGGTGCAGCCCCTGGTTGGGCTCAGAGCAGGGCCGATTGGGGAGTTGGGGCACTGCCCCCTGTCATGCACAGAGCAGGGCGGATTGGGAGGTTGCGATGCCACCCTCAGTCACGCTCAGGGTAGGGCTGATTGGGGGGTTGGGGCACCGCCCCCTGTCACACTCAAGGCAGGGTCGATGGGGAGGTTGCAGCGCCACCCCCTGTCACGCACAGAGCAGGGCCAATCAGGGGGTTGGGGCGCTGCCCCTGTCACGCACAGAGCAGGGCCAATCAGGGGGTTGGGGAGCTCCCCCCTGTCACTCACAGAGTAGGGCCGATAGGGGAGTTGGTGCACCGCCCCCTGTCACACACAGAGCAAGGTGGATCAGGGGGTTGGGGCACCGCCACTCTCACACTCAGGGCAGGGCCGATGGGGAGGTTATGGCTCTACCCCATCACACACAGAGCAGGGCCCGTGGGGTATGGGGGTTGGGGTGCCGCACCCTGTCACACACAGAGCTGCAGGGTGATCAGGGGGTTGGGGAGCTCCCCCCTATCAGGCACAGAGCAGGGCCGATCAGGGGGTTGGGGCGCCTTCCCCTGTCACGAACAGAGCAGGGCCGATAGGGAGGTTGTGGCCCCACCCCCTGTCACACACAGAGCCGCAGGGTGATCAGGGGGTTTGGGCGCTGCCCCCTGTCATGCTGATCCCGGTGCCAGGAGGCCTCTCAGCTCTGCTGATTCCGGTGCTGGGAGGCATATTACCCTTTTACTATATAGAATAGAGGCCTGGTGCATGGGTGGGGGCTGGCTGGTTTGCCCTGAAGGGTGTCCTGGATCAGGGTGGGGATCCCCACTGGGGTGCCTGGCCAGCCTGGATGAGGGGATGATGGCTGTTTGCAGCTGGTCACACACCCTTCCTGGTGGGGGTCCCCACTGGGGTGCCTGGCCAGTCTGGGTGAGGGGCTGAGGGCTGTTTTCAGGCTGGGACTGAAGCTCCCAACTGCTCCTTTTTTTCTTTTTCTTTTTCTTTTTTTATTCTGGGCCAGCTTTAGCTCTGAGGCTTGGCTCCAGCTCTGAGGCCTCAGCTGCTGAAAGTAGGTATCTGGTTTGTTTAGGTTCTATAATCGAAACTCTGTATCACCTCCAGCTCTGAGATCCCGGCTCGCTGAAAGCTGGTTTCTGGGGTTTTGTTTAGCTTCTATATTTGTTACATAGTTGCTTAGAGTTGCAGCTCAGAGGCCGGCAAGGCAGGCGGGGAATGTTGCAGTCCTCCGTCACTGAAGCAAGCAAGCGTCATGTTAGTTTCAAGCTGCCTGGCTGCTGGCTGCCATCTTGGCTGGCAGTTAATTTGCATATCACCCTGATTAGCCAATGGGAAGGGTAGCGGTTGTACGCCAATTACCATGTTTCTCTTTTATTAGATAGGATATATATATATATATATATATATATATATATATAAAATATATTTTATTGATTTTCTACAGAGAGGAAGGGAGAGGGATAGAGAGTTAGAAACATCGATCAGCTGCCTCCTGCACACCTCCCACCGGGGATGTGCCCGCAACCAAGGTACATGCCCCCAACCGGAATCGAACCTGGGACCCTTCAGTCCGCAGGCTGATGCTCTATCCACTGAGCCAAACCGGCTAGGGCTACATTACTTTTATAATACATATTTTAAAATAAGTTTAGAGGAAGCTAAAACTATTTAAAATTTAGTTAACCATACTTATGTGTTTTAAATATTTTCTTTTAAATGAAATGTTTTAACATACAGTAAAAGTATAGAAAATAGTACACTACATACCTATAAACCCACTAGTTAAATACTGGTATAAGAGGTTAACATTTTTGCTGTATTTAT